TGGCTAGTTTCTTGATGGTTTAATTGCGTGAATGTCATTTAATTTGTGTTTGAATAATTTAATTGATATCTTTTGTAACCTAGAATGACCACTAGAATTACAATTGCACATAGAATAAATTAAGAGAGATCTAATTTGTTCTAGGATACATTCACGCACACTTAATCGTTCGCTAAGAGATTAGTACCGATTAAGGGGCCGTAAGTTCGTTCGTTTTGGCAATAATTTAGGATCATGTCGCATGAGAGATCAGCCTGGTCCCCTAAATTTTTATACTCTACGTCGCGAGAGCGGTAAGAACTTAGTATTGATTAGTCAGGCTCAATTAAATTAAATTCATGTAATTAGGCCTGATCTGCCAGAAATCTGATTACCCTGTAATCAATCCCTGTTCCCTTCGTCGTTAATCAAGAAGAACACAAATCTTTATTTTTATTCGCACATTCACATTAGTTTAATTTCCATTCAACCAATCAATCTCGCACGACGCATTTATTTTATTTTATTTTATTTTTAATCGCTGAATTTAGTTAATCTTTAATTCCCTTTTGTCCGTCCCTGTGGAGACGATACTCGTACTTTCACCACTATTCTACTATTAATTTAAGTGCGAGGAAAGTCACATCATCGATTCTAAACGTAGATTGGGTTCCCTCTTATTAGTCAATTCTAAGATTTATCCTTTTAGTCATCTTTCTTCTCTAATTCAAATTTTATTTTTTGTAATGTATGATTCTAGTTGTTTCCTTTTTATACTTTTTTGTAACATTTGGTCATAGTTTCCAATGGCGCTTCTTCAAAACTTCATTATAAGGTCCTATGAAATAGGGGCTGACATGACTGCATTTGTAGAAACAATGATGAACCACTTGGGGGTATAAATTAAATACATCTATTATAATCATTTTCCTACTACATTTTAGTTATGTCACCTATGAAATCTGTAGAAACAATGATGAACCACTTGGGGGTATAAATTAAATACATCTATTATAATCATTTTCCTACTACATTTTAGTTATGTGACCTATGAAACAATCAGGTTGAGATATAGAAGTGAACATTTGTGATATCTTGAGTTGTTCCTTACTAAGGTCGGACTTTTTCTGCAGGAAACTATCATGAACCACGTTAAGAGTGCAGGATCTTAGGGGATGGTTATGGTTCAACTCCAGAAATGTGCAAGTAAAATTAAAGCTAAAGAAATTCACTTAGCTTAGGAAAAGAGGTAACTGCTTCAACTTCTGTTTTGTGTTTGTAATGTTCAATTTCTATTTCCCATGAATCATTTTGTGTTAATGAAAGTCTATCACTTCAGAACACCATGAGCTAAGGTTATAAAAGTAGAACAGAAATGGGTAATTGGACCTTAAATATATTTTGTTAGATCTATATAGCTTTTAAACTCAAAGTTTCAAATTTCGTTTTCCTTATTCCATATTGTTTATACTTTATATAACAGTTTAATATCTAAGAATACTAATTCTAATAATGCTTTTTGGGTTCAGAATGATTAGAAAAATGAATTATTCTGTTGTTAATGTGCATCTCTGAAAAATTATACGTAGTATTTAATAGTATAATTAGATGTGAATCATGTTTCGTTCATCCTCCTACATTTTCTATGTTTTAAATATATCCTTGAATAGGTTGATGGCTTCTTAAATGTGAATCATGTGCCATTCATTCTTCTACATTTTTCAAGCTCCCTAGTTGCTTTTCCTCTTTATCAATATTAGCCATTCAATTTCTTTAATTTTCCTTTTGAAGTGTAATTATTAACCATTCAACTTCTTTAACTTATTGAACACAAAAAATTCTATCCTACTGAGTTCCATATTGCAATACCCGGAAATTATTGTGTCATAATTTCTGACACACTTCCTTTTTTCTTTTAAGCAATAAGTTTCCTATTTGCTTTGCAATTTTGGAGCCAGTTTCAAGCAATAAGTTTACTACTTGCATGGCATTTATGGATCCAGTTTGGGTTTTATACTTCATTTTTTCTCCTTTACATTTAGTTTGATATTGTTCAGAAAGTATCTCCTTCAACAATTGTTCAGTCGTGAATGTCCATTATGAAAGACATGAGATTGCCTCTTTGCCCTCATGAGTTCTTATGATATATAAATCTAAAATCTTACTTTATCTACGTTAGAGATCCTTGATACAAATCCATCAACTCTTTGAATTGAAATTTTGAATAACACCTGGTTTGTGTCAGCTCTTAACCTTTTTGTCATTGGGTCTCCAATCAGCCTGATTATCCTATTTTTAAAATTAAGAATCATTCCGCTTATATACATATAAATTAGAGTATGAACGGGAAATGGAAATAGCTTCCAGTCTAAACTTTGCCCTTCTAGATTCTAAACTTTTCAGTTTAGAATGCTGTAATTTCTACTATACACAAATTTTCTTGGAGCTTGGAAAATTGGTTTTTAATGCAGTGTTTCTTGGAGCTAGGAAAATAGTCAGACCAAAATACGTTTACAGTTTGGTTGCCTAATTAATAACTAAAGCCTCATACATGTCCGTCATCATGTCCATCACCGATATGAACTTAAGGTGTCAATTGGAAAAATTAATAGGACATTTAAACAATCCCTCACCCTTAACACTTTCTTTGTCCATCTATTCATGTTGCTGACTTTGGAGGGAGAGCTTTCTATTGCAATGAGCTTGTGTAGTTCAGGTTTGATGGTATTCAAAAATTGGCTTGCACAAAATTTATTAGCAACCCGAAAAATTGAAGGAAACGAAAGAAGTGGAGCTAGAAATTAGAGACTATGCTTCAAATAGATGAACAGAATTTTGGCTCTACATATTCATGTCTTTGGTATCTTTGTGGCTCATGTGAACATGAACATGGATTCAAGAACTCAAGTCTAGAACTTATATCATGAGCTACAAATTCCAGTAAATCATCAGATGTGTACATCTCCCTCACATAGTTGCTATCTACTATGTATTTTACATTTTTTATTCATATACCAGCTTTGAGACATTGCATATTTGATAAGTGAAATTAGTCATTATGTTTTGAATTGTTTTTCAATCGGTTAACCTTTTTAACTCTATGTTTGTTTTAACCTCTTATATGATATTTAATTTTTTTATCTAATTCACGTTAGTACTTGAGATTTTTTTTGAGAACATTTTTCAAGATAAATGAATTGTCTCAGCGGCCTACTGTTTCTTTAATTTACTGACCAGATGTAGGGTTGGATCGGTTCCGGTCCGGGCCGGGTACCAGGCCTCGCTCGCCGATATCTGGTCAGTAAATTAAAGAAACGGTAGGCCGCTGAGACAATTCATTTATCTTGAAAAATGTTCTCAAAAAAAATCTCAAGTAATATGTGTTGAGCTTAATTTGTGATTCATGTCTCAAACTCAATTCATTCTTTAAGCTCAACAAATATCATTCCCAATCCTGATAAAACAATATTAAAGCAACTAAACTCTAAACACATTAAGCACATTTATCTGTGATGGGGCAGTACGGCGGTGGCAAGAAAATAACAGACATTAAATAGACAATAAATAGACAATAAATAAACAATAAATTCTGATAAACATCATTGCGGCGGCGGAGAACTCCGGCCGCGGAGGCGGCGGCTGCAGAATCTGGCAGTCTACCAGATTTTTTTTTGAATTTTCCGGCAGTGCTCTGGCAGCGGCGGAAGCGGCGGCGGCGGCGGCAGAATCTGGCAGGATGCCAGATATTTTTTGGAATTTTCCGGCGGTGCTCCGGCGGCGGCGGCCGGAGGTCTGGAGGCAGGTGGCTGGCAGCAGTTCATGGGCAGCAGTGGGGTATTTTCATCCAATCACACATAAAAAGTCCTATTTAAGAATGTTTAAACTAATTGGTCCTATTTTGGGAAAAAAGCCATGTTTTGGTACTATGAAAGTAAATCTCCCTAAGAGAATAAAGACAAAAAAGGACATAAAATGTAACTATTAAATATAAAAGGGTAGAAAATCACTTTCTTGCAGGTTTGGGGGGTGGGGGTGGGGGGCTAATAAGACACATCAGTGAAGTTTCAATAATTCTTGGTGTACACTTTCTTATACACATTAGTACACCCTTATGTCTGTGAGAGTTTTTTTTTGTCTGTGAATCACAGTCTACAGACAAAAATTGTCTGTAGAATTTTTCACAGACAAAACGAGTCAATTTTTGTCTGTAAATTGGGATTTACAGACAAAAAAAAACTCTCACAGACATAAGAGGTGTACTGATGTGTATCAAAAGGTGTACAAAAGGAATTTTTCGTGAAGTTTTATCTATGATTTATGCAAACCTGTGTAGGATCATCCCCATAGCTAACTTAGTAGGAATAGAATTTTGGAAAAAAGTATTGTGTAGGTGAGTGCACGTTAAAGGCATGCTCCACTTGGTTTACTCAATGTTTTCTTAAACATCAAAGAAAACTACTCAGGATATACCTAAATTTATACTCCCTTCGTCCCACTGGACTTTGCCAACTTTCGTTTTTTGTTTGTCTCAAAAAAATTTGTTACTTTCCTTTTAAAACAATGTTTTTGTGGCTCTGTTTATTTGTCTCTCCTCTGCACAAACCTCAATCACACAAATTTTACTATTCTAATTTCACACCTAACATCAACTTGACAAATTTGAGTGGGACACACACACAAGGCCTTTTTCATAAACCATATATATCTTCCATTCCTTCAATACAACTACATATTTATCCCTTCAATATAACCACACGTTTATTATTATTATTATTATTATTATTATTATTATTATTATTATTATTATTATTATTATTATTATTATTGTTATTGTTATTGTTATTGTTATTGTTATTGTTATTGTTATTGTTATTGTTATTGTTATTGTTATTGTTATTATTATTATTATTATTATTATTATTATTATTAATGTGGACCGAAAGTTTAAATACGCTACATTCCTCAAAAAAACGGATGACACCCCATCCCTTAGGGCCCCAACACCGACCAGACGACACGATGGGAGAATGTAAATTTGACTATAATCACAATTTGACATATAGAGAATAAGACTCCGTCCCCGGTACTTACAGAGGCTTCTGTTGAGTAATCTCTTATCGCAGTTACCGGGATTCGAACCTGACCTAACCCTTTTGTCACTCCCTCGCTACCCGTCGAGGGTTAATTTCGTCCATTCACAATCAGATATTTCCTCAAGAAGTACTAAACCCGTGTGTGACTAGTATTAGAAGATACGAGTCCTAGGGAATAGGTATATACGCGGAGTCCATCGGCATGCAGTTTCGGAATCGATGGATAGAAAGAGGATGGGGAAGGCGAAACTCAAGGGCGGGGGTGTGAGTGGGCATCCGGAGGATGTGAGGTCGAAAGCGCTGCGGAAGAGGACGGGCACTCAGAATCTCAAGGAATCTGTTATCAAACCAGGCATACATCGGTGAGTTCAATTTCTCGATCTCTTTATTGCTCCATATCGACAGTTTCTCTATGATCAGTTATTGAGTTGTGGTTGCTCGTATTCTGAATATTTCTCCTGCAAACCCATTGTTTACTTGTTTTATTTGCAATTTCAATCTCTCTGCGTCTCTTCAATTACTGATCGTGTTGCCTTTGCTGAAACTAGATCTGTATAATTAATGATTTTGACGACTGGAGCAGGGGAAGGGGAAAGGGAAGCACCAGCGGAAGAAAAGGCCCTCTTCACCAACTAGTATATGTCTCTAACGGACGGGCTAGTTTTATGACACATCAGTGTGCACTGGCTGCGCTATCAAGTATCAATGAGAAACAGGTGTGTTTAATCTGATAAGTGTTCGGTGAGTATAATCAGCTCCTCAAATAATTTGTTGGGGCTATGCTTGATGTACACAAAAAGTGTACACTTTTTGTACACCGCCTGTGTACACAAGCATTTGAGAGACAAATGCCACCTATTTCTTAACGAATTGCCCGTGGACACAGGCAACTAGGGAGTCTACACAAAAAGCGTACACATTTTGTGTGTACCTTAAACATTTTTGTATTTGTTGTGATTTCACTATGCAGGATCTGAAATACAAGCTTGTTGATCCACAAGGGTGCATCTACTGCCCAACTCCATCCAGCCTCAGGTTCTTCTATCATTGCAACTTTGTTGCAAGGCCTGAAAATGGAAGTGAAGCTGATGATACACTCTTTTTTGCGGAATTAGAGGGGAAACAAGAGGATAAGACTGGCTGCCAAATCACCCTCACCCTCCTTTTCTCATGCGTTTTAGGGCCTTGTGAATCTGAGGAAACAGATCCCGACGACTGTGAATTTTGTGCTGCTCTTCCAGCTTATGTCAAACATCCTCAAAGCGGCGGATTCCACAAGTTTGTTGAGCCTGGTGCCGTTTTATGGTGATGGAGTCCGTCTACCTCGGGCTACGAATAAAATGATGGTAATAATTACTGAAATAAAAACATTGTACTCCTATTTTTGTATTCACAATTCTTTGGAAAATACTCTTATTAATGCCAAAGTAAATTAGTAGTTACTCCTACATTTTTGGGAATAAGAACACAATACTCATATTTTGGAAAACGTTTCTACTCTTATTTCGAAAGTTCTCCCGTTCTTTTAATCTTATGTTTAGAGTGACAATCAATTGAAATATACCTTGAAACTTGTCACAAGAGCTTTAGAGCCCGTTTGGTAACACTAAAATTGGCTGAATTGGCTGATTCTGCTGAAATTTATGAAGTTTTGGCTGAACTGATTCTACTGATTCATTAAAAAATTATATTTAAAATATTTGTTATTAATAAATTAAATAAAAAATTATATGAAAAAATTGCTAAAATGATTCTCTACAGTGACTTCAGCCAATACAGCCAGAAAAGTAACTCCGACCTTACTTTTTCTGCTTATTACAAACTTCAGCGCGCGGAATCAAAAGTTACGTGTTTGGTAAAAAAGCTGGCTGATAAGCCTGGTAAGCCGAAAAAATGGGTTACCAAACGGGCTCTTAATCTCAAAGAGGAAGAGAGCATCTGAAACCTAAACTTATTTTTGAGCAGAGAAATAATACACCTAGAAGATGTTATTAACTTCATCACTATTATGTTCATTTACTTAGTTTCTAACGTTTTTTTACGTGCAGCCATGAAGATACTACTTCAACCTAGATGTTTTGTATCTTTACTTCGGATAGCTTCATCAACTGCACTTCCAGTTCAGAGAAGCTTGATGAACACTTGATCAGTACTTCAATAACTTTTATGACACAATCTAAATTACTATAGCCAAGATGCGTTGTTATGATATAGTTTTATTTCAGCCGTTGGTCAGCTCTTAAATTTGATCCAGAGTATTACTAATGTAAATAATGCTACACAAACTTTATTGAGCAGCTGTCTTGCTTGGGTAACTTGAAAGCCATTGTTAAAGCTTTTCTGGATACTCTGTTTTAAAGTATACCTTGTGTTGGCTATTTTACACCAAAGAGTCACCCAAGTAATTATTTTTACTATTTTACCACCTATCCAGAATCTGGATTGGCAAAAACGAATACCTTTGAGCGGGCTATGTGAATAAAAAAAGACAGAACTTATAATTGGATGGTAATATGAAAAGTAATTCTGGATTGGCATGTAAAATTGGATGGTTTCTATATCTTGATAGTTATTAGCTTAATGTAGGATCAACTTTGAGTGAAAATTGGATGGTTTCTATATCTTGATATTATTTTACTATTATAGTACTGTAGTAGTTATCTTCAGAAAGCGCTTGAATCACTATTAAATGAAGACTAATCGCTCAACCTACAGATATTTTAGAGATGTTAGCATGGCTTTGTTAAAACTCACATCAAGACAACCTAAATAAAGTAATAAACCAGCAAAACAATTCAACCATACATTACTACTATGTCAAAAACATACACTCCAATAACAAAAAAAAATCACTATTAAAATTAATCATTAAGAGAGGGATCAAAGTTTGAAAATGATAAAAGAAAACATGAGAAGCTTGTACATGTAGCCCAATGCATATTAGTGCCTAGGGCTGTTAACGAACTGAGTCGAGCCCGAACATCATAGGCTCGAGCTCGGTTCGATAGTGTTTTGATAGTGCTCGAGTTCAAGCTCGAAGCTCAACGAGCTCTACTTATTAGGCTCGAGTTCGGTTCGGATACCTGATAGGCTTGGAAAACAGTTTGAACAAAAGAGTTTGATTAGAGCTCAAGTTTGAACACAAGCTCGTTCAATGAAGAAAAAATTCTCTCAATTACTAAACCTATAAAATTCAATAAGAATGTCATCAATTCCTTCCCTCTTACGTATAACTCCAAAAAATATCATCAATTACGTACAACAAAAATTCAAAAAGGCATCAAAATATTTCTTTTTGGACATTAATGGACAACCAATAAGTTGAAAAGAATCATTAGAAAAAATTATCTGGCCAAGACAATAAAGAACCCTATGATCTGTCCAAGAAAATAAAGAACCCTTGTATCCATCTGTGTACTCTTTTGCAATTGCTAAGAGTAAATGCATACATATACAATGCTATAAAGAACCCTTTTAAGGCCACAAGTATGAATACAAATAAACAACCAATTCTGATGTTTATATTACAACTAGAGCAGTAAGAGATGAGCAAAAACAAACATAGGCATATAGGCTAATGATCCATAGTGCACCAGATAAGCATTACATTTCCAAGCAACTATGTTCAAAGTCAGGACTCAGGAGCCAAACTATCATATGTCCAAAAATATTAGAAAGCAAAATAGACAAATACAGTGAGCAATATTTCAGTCCAACTAGTAATTCACAAAATATGATACTCATCCACTGCAATAAAACTTCTTGTTTGATCATCTATGATATTGGTAGATTAATTATTATCAGTTCCTTGCAACCCTGCAAAACAGAAACTTGGATTATGAAATGAGCACCATAACTTTTTTTTATCATAATCATTATGAAGAATAAATTTGAAGTCACATAAGCTACTCACTTTGCTTTTCTTTTTTGTCCCATGAAGATTTCTAAGCCAATCTCCTCCACAAAGTAGCTCTTCTACTGTCTGAACTGATAATGATGCACTATATGCATCAATTACTCTTGTTCCAGCACTAAATGTAGCCTCAGAAGCCACTGTAGTTATCGGAATCGCCAAGATATCAGCTGCCATTTTGGAAAGAACATGGTACTTTGATTGGTTTCCTTTCCACCAAGCTAAGATATCAAACAATTCAGATGATCCTTCTGAGCAAATATAGCAACCATCTTCAAAATACATGTCCAAATTTGTTCTACTTGGCCAGATAGTCTCTACTTCTTTCACATATGCATGCAATTCGTCAAAGTCGGATGCTGATGAATTCATTCTTGAAGAGGACTGAGAAGAACTATACTTTCTTAGAGTAGAATTTTTTTCCATGCTCACATACTCATTATATAGCTCAAGCAAAGCACTTTTCACCTTTTCTATGTTGAGGTTTACCTCTAATTAACGATATATCATAGGAAAACAGAAGCCCAAAACCCTCATTTTCACCCTTGGATCATGAACAGCGATAGACACGAGTAAATTTCACTCTCCCCAATATTTGTCAAACATTTTCTTCATTTGGTCGACCATATCCTTCACAAATGCACTTTCATCACTTCCCCGATTGTCTAAGCTTTGTTTAATCTTACAAACTCCCACCATAAAAAGGTTGCCGTTGGGTATTCACTTCCAGATATTATGTTGGTCACATTAGAGAAAACCACCAAAATATCAAGAATTTTCTCTACGTTCTCCCAACCTTCTTTTGATGGACATGACGTGTAATTGGGTTCCTATCTTTGATATATTGGAAACATCCTTGAACACATATGCACAATGCAACATATCGTATGTTGAGTTCCAACGTGTTTTGCAATCAAGTATGAGTTTGCTGCCAGACACTTGCAATTGTTGGACAACTTTACAGAAAGTGTTCATTCGGGCTTCACTTTGATTAAGAAAAGAGACACTATCCCTGATATCTTGTATTACAGATTTGATTGTAGACAAACCATCTTGAACAATAAGATTCAAGATATGTGCACAACACCTCACATGAAAAAGCTTTCCACCACAAACCAAATCTTTCTTCATCGCAAAGATTTCCCTCAAGTTCTTGATTGCAGTGTCATTTGTTGAAGCGTTGTTTACTGATATAGTATAAATTTTGTTCTCAATTCCCCAATCTTTCAAACACTTGTACAAAGCATCTGAAATATTATTGCCGCTATGTGGTGGTGGAATATGAACAAAATTCGGCACCCATTTGTTGAGCTTCCATATAGCATCCAGAGAATGGCATGTGACTACCATGTGACCAATCTTTTGTTGATTCCCATAAATCAGTCGTCAAACTGATCTTTGAAACGTTAGAGAGCATAGATCTTACCTTGTTCTTTTCGTACTCATAAACTTTGATGCAGTCATTTCCTAAAGTAACTCGACCAATTCTTTGATAAAAAGGATCAACTACTTTCATCATAAAATTGAACCCTTCTTTTTCTACGATGGAGAATGAATGTTCATGCATCATGGACCAGTGACAAATAGCTTCCTTCATTTTGCCATGATCGTACTCCCCCCCCCCCCCCACAACTGCTGGAGCTAAGAAAGGCATACTCAAATTGAATTGCTTGCTTGAAAGTTTAGTAGACCCTGCTTCCTCATGTTTGCCTTCCTTTGAGAACAGGTCTTCATATGTCTAATCAAATGCGTTGGGGTGCCATTCGTTTGCCAAGACAACTTCACCTTACAGTGAGTGCATTCAACTTTTACCACCACTCCTTTGTCATTCTTTATATGATGAGTGAAACATCTTTCCAAATTTTTGACCGTTTTGCTCTTTCTTTGTTCAATTCCAGACCTGATTCTTCAATTATAGGCTCTTCACCTCCATCACGCCCCGCCTGAGTCTCTTTAGGTATATCTGCTATCTCCTCTACATGTGACTGATCGGTGTTGATAGATGTATCAACTTCTTCTGCCATTATATAAATTGAGTTTGACCCTTCACTAAAAGGTAGAATACTGGTGGATGGTGCCTGCATAAATCTGAAACACAAGCAATAGTCATACAAATGAATGCAACACAATTAGATACAATCCCTCCTCATTTCATTTTCATTTACCCCAGTGCCGCAAAGGCTCCCACCTATAGTGGGGTAAGGGGTGGTCGGATGTACGCAGCCTTACCCCTGTACTAAAGCACAGAGAGACTGTTTCCGGATGACCCATAGTAAAAAATTATATGAAAAAATTGCTCAAATGATTCTCTACAGTGACTTCAGCCAATACAGCCAGAAAAGTAACTCCGACCTTACTTTTTCTGCTTATTACAAACTTCAGCGCGCGGAATCAAAAGTTACGTGTTTGGTAAAAAAGCTGGCTGATAAGCCTGATAAGCCGAAAAAATGGGTTACCAAACGGGCTCTTAATCTCAAAGAGGAAGAGAGCATCTGAAACCTAAACTTATTTTTGAGCAGAGAAATAATACACCTAGAAGATGTTATTAACTTCATCATTATTATGTTCATTTACTTAGTTTCTAACGTTTTTTTACGTGCAGCCATGAAGATACTACTTCAGCCTAGATGGTTTGTATCTTTACTTCGGATAGCTTCATCAACTGCACTTCCAGTTCAGAGAAGCTTGATGAACACTTGATCAGTACTTCAATAACTTTTATGACACAATCTAAATTACTATAGCCAAGATGCGTTGTTATGATATAGTTTTATTTCAGCCGTTGGTCAGCTCTTAAATTTGATCCAGAGTATTACTCATGTAAATAATGCTACAAAAACTTTATTGAGCAGTTGTCTTGCTTGGGTAACTTGAAAGCCATTGTTAAAGCTTTTCTGGATACTCTGTTTTAAAGTATACCTTGTGTTGGCTATTTTACACCAAAGAGTCACCCAAGTAATTATTTTTACTATTTTACCACCTATCCAGAATCCGGAAAAGTCACTGGAAGCCACGCACACGTGCGTGGGGGGACGCACACGTGCGTTCAACGTTTTTACGCGCAAGTCTGTCGGACGCACGGACGGCACGCATGCGTGCGTGGGGGCCGTGCGTGCTCGAATTCTTTCCTAATTCTGCCCAAATTGCCTTGTTTCCTATAAATATCACCCCCTAACCCTAATTAAAGGGGGATGAGACTTAGAGAGAGCTTAAAAACGAATTAAGAGAGCTTTTCAGCCTGATTTCTTCAACTCTTTAAGATTCTTTGTAAGTTTCTACTTTTTGATTAATGACAATTATTTCTATTTTTCCCAATTCTATTGATTCTTCAATTATGAGTCGGGAGTAGTTTTAATTAGGGATTTGGGGTTGATGAAGGGGTTTATCATGATGTATGGTTGGTTTCTTGATGGTTTAATTGCGTGAATGTTGTTTAATTTGTGTTTGAATAATTTAACTGATATCTTTTGTAACCTAGAATGAC